ATACCACAGTCAACATAAAAACACATCACCTGAATTTTCTAAGTTTCAAAACAATAATTTGATTTCCTGTTATACTCCAAAGGTGACTAGTTATTTTTCTTTATTATAAACTCACCACTCTAAACATATTTTATGTGTAAGATAACCGCAATGGACAACAAAGGTAATTTAATGCAGTTATTTTTGTTGATCAAATTTTTCTACCTTTGGCCTGTAGAATTCTCTTCAGTTTGTCTCTGGAGTCTTTGACACTGTGCTAGTAGTTTCTAATATTATACCTTCCGTGCTGTCTGATAGGGCAAGGTGTTATGAACTCATTTCATACATTTAATTCCTCAGACCTGGAATCAACCATTTCTCCAAGAAACTTGATTTCTTTTAGCAGGGAAATGATATTTCAAGAACACAAAGTAGGTGCTAGAGAAGCTCAATGCTCTTGGCTTAGCCATTGTTTCTAGCTCTTTTCAAACAGAACTAGGAAATGTAGGACTACATAGTTATCAAAGTGTCTCTTTTTTTTTTGGAAATCTAATAATCTTACTAGGATATATTTTAATGTTCATCCGGAGACAATTTTCTTAGTTGCAATGTTTCTTTTAACATGTTACTTTAAATCTACTGTTTTATGCCAGAAAGTTTCTTGAATTATAGTTTTTATTACTTTTTCTATTGCTTTAGAGTTCTCTGCTGAGGCTCCTGCTCTATACCAGGTGCCAGTTGGATCATTATCTAGTGTCTACACTTGCTACTTTCCCCCAAATCCTCATCATTTAATTTTTCCCCCTTTGTTTTCACCTTTGATTTCTCCTAAAGCACTATTTGTTGTGCTTATTTCATTACTGTTACTCCTCGTCCAGTCTCAATTCCTGAAACTGTCTTTTATTTCTAACAATTTCCTGTGTTCCATTGCTTCATTTATAATTTTTTACTAATTCTGAGTTTTACTATTTGTTTGTGGACATGTCTTTGTGGCTTACTCTATTTTCTGTAGAAAAACATTTTTTTCTTATAATAATTGTATATGGGATTTTACCTTGATTGTTTTCTATCCATTTTTATATCAAATTAGTTTTTTCCTAGTTTCACACCTTCTTTGTTGTTTCTGTGAAATGTTAAAAATGAAGCTTCCAAAATGAGTTTTGTCCAAGACATTCAAATTATAGCACCACTTTACAAATAAGTTATTCAATTGTACATTCCCAACAGCAGTGTAGGAAAGTTCCAGTTGCTCTTCATCCTCAACAAAACTTGATATTGTCAGCTTTTCACTATGTAAAAACTGAACGAAATATATAAAACAATATTTCTTAGATATTGGACAAAAGATGTTGCTTAATTATGGTCTAGGAAGAGAAACAAACAAGATGAGCCCTGCGTTCACCTGACTTTTTGTGTAGAGATAGCATCCAAATCATGGCCCAGGGAGGGGAATGCAAACAAAGCACAGCATTTTTGCTAATTGGGAAGATGCAGATTAGAGTTCTGAGAGGCTGAAGCGCCTGGAACATTGGAGAAGCATGTTGAAGCAACACACACACAAAAAAAAGAGCTCTAGAAATATGCAGAGGGGTCTCTCTGTGCCTTTGAGTACGAAGATGTGAATGCCTAAGGTAAAACTCCATAAAGCTAGGTAAATAACAACTATCTGGAAACTTCAGGCTGAATAATTAATTATCAGAGCTTACATAGGGCTGTGAGATGTTTGTGGCACAACCAGCAATAAGGAGATGTCCTTTAACACCTCTGACATTCAATAGGAAGCCCAGAAAGTTCATGTCTTAGTGTTGGGGCCAACCTAGTTTGAGTATAAAAGCTACATTGATGTTTCCTAATAAAGCTTAATATCAAGACTTAAAAACAACAAGGTGATCTACAAGTAGCTTAACAGGCTGCCTAACAAGTTTTAAAACTTTTTATAAACATAGAAAACAATTCAGAGAGTCAATCATGTCCAGCATCCTATCAAAAATTACTAGATATTCAGATAAGCAGGAAAATATATCCAAAAACCAGGAGAAAAATAAATAGAAATAACAGATCTGATATAATTAAAAGACAAGAGTTTTAAAACAGCAATTATAAATTTGCTTAAGGACTTAAAAGAAAATGTGAATATAATTAAAAGAAAAATGGAAGGTATACAAAAGAACAAAGTAGTACTTCTATTGATGAAAAATGTACAGAATAGACTTAATAGCAGATCAATGATAGAGCAAAAGGAGCTATTAAAACTAAAGCACAGAGTCATAAATGAACGACTCAATCAGTGAAGCAGTATCATATGTCTAACAAATGTGTAATTAGAGTCCCAGAAGGAAGGAAGAAGACAGAAAAATTATTTGAAGAAATAATGGCTAACATATTTTAAATGTGATGGGTGAAGATAGAGATCATACAAGAAGTACAAAATATTGAAAATTGCTGGAACTGGTATTGGTACATGAAAATTTGGTATACTATCCTCTGTACTTACTTATATTTGAAATTTTCCATACATGAAGCTAAAAAAGTTTTAAAAATAGATAATAGATTCAAAAATAAAAACAAAAACTCTAAAATTTCTGGAAGAACAAATATATGTAAAAATTATCTCTGGTGTAGGCTAAAAAGTTTTAGACTAGGCAAAAAAAAAAAAAACACTAACCATAAAAGAAAAATATTATAATTGGACTTAAAACAAAAGAAAGCCTTTTATTCTTTGAAATATGCCATTAAGGAAATGAAAAGGAGAGACACAGATTGGGAAAAATATTCAATGCTTCAATGCATATATTAAAGGGCTTGTTTTAGGAGATAAAGAGCTCTCTTACAACTCATTTAAAGACAAACAACCCAATTAAAATTGGCTCCAAAAACTCCATAAAAGAAGATATGCAAATGGTCAAGAAATACATGAAAAGATGCTCAATATCATTAAACATCAGGTAAATGCAAATTGAAAACACACTGACATAACACTACATACCCACTAGAAATGTTAAAAATGTAAAAATCTGGCAATATCAAGTTTTGTTGAGGATGTAGAGCAACTGGACTTTTCCTACACTGCTGTTGGGAATGTCCAATTGAATAGCTTCTTTATAAAGTAGTGTTATAATTTGAGTGTCCTGGACAAAACTCATGTTGGAAGCTTAATTCCCAGTGCGGCAATGTAGAGAAGTGAGACTCTTAAAAGGTGGGGCCTACTGGGAAGCATTTGGGTCCTGAGGGCTCACCTTCATGGGCAGCTTGGTGCTGTTCTTATGGTAGAGAGTTCTTGCTCACAAGAATGAGCTCTCACCAGAAACCAAGCAGACACCAGCATCATATTCTTGGACTTTCAGACTCTGGAATCATGACCCAAATAAATCTCTTTTCTTTATAAATTACCCAACATCAGATATTCTGTTACAGCAACACAAAACAGACTAAGACAAATGATTTGGCA